AAAGTCATCTAACAATTATGTTTTACTTTATTTCGAGGCGAATCTGTCTTCTTGAAGAGTGTTAGATCACCATTATTGGCAAACGAAAGAATTCCAACCTCCAAATTTTACCGCAAAAAGGGGTCACCCCAGCACCAACGGCAACACTGCCAACTATTCGATCCCACGATCGACCTTCAATTCGTTTATCACCGACTTTATGACTCTCATGCGTAACCGAAGCAAACATGGCCGACCCGAAAAATTACCGCAGCGCCCTATGTGAGCCCCGAACCGGGTCTTCTCTGATAAATCGGGTCGACTCTATGGCCTAATCGGGGCATTTTACTTTCTCGCGACCTTGGGCCGGAGCCCCCCGCCAAACGCTCGCTTGACAAGTTATTAATTATCCCATTCATCGGTTTGATGGCCTCGCGTGGTTCGAAGTATGAGAAATGGCCCGCGCAGAATTGGGCGGTGAGTTCGCACACATCATGCAGGTAACCTGGTAACCAGCTTCGCATATGCGTACCCACGCAACGTTGCTTCATGCATGGGCCATTGGACCCCAGATGCTGCGTTACAGCGGAGTGAGGCTCCTTCACATACTCATTTTCCACCCACACTCTTCAGGGAGTTCAAGAGCATGCTTTGATCCGCAGAGATCACGGTGTCGTTGTGATAGAGGTCCCATTGTTTAATCATTTAATTTCGACGAGCCCTTGACTTTTGGTAGCAGTTTCGTTTGTCGTAAAAGTATGTCAAGTTTTGCACGGATTCAGGCAGTGGCTAATTTTTCAAAGTTGGCAACACTATTTTTCCGCCATTTGAAGGTATGTAAAACCGCGAAAATTTACACAAGAGCAAGTAATTACTTGGCAAATCCCTCACACGTGCAAGAGCTCTATCATGACAACGGTTTTCGTCTTGACAACAATTTCACTACTTTGGTGACAATGAATGAACAGCAGAAACAAATCAGGATGATTTTCTTTCATGATCTATGTGATTTTCTCAATGCCTCAAATATCGGAATATTTTTATGTGAAGCTTAAGCTTGCGCGGACTAAATTTATGGTACTACCCCAATTTGTTAAATGATGTGGGCAATTCCAATTAATCGTGGTAGTACCGCAAATCAAGTTGGCGTAGTAGCCTAATTTATTCGTTTAATACCACAGTTAATTGGAAATGCCCATATCATCAAACAATCCCTACCTCTTTCTTTCCCGTGTCAAAAAAGGTACGACAACAATATTTGCTCGCAGCGATCACTGCTTCGGGCTCTCTCAGTTCTTATTTTTAGCTGCAAAATTATATTTTTCAGCAATTAAACAGTGAAATGTAAGTATTGCGATGGGGCAAATCATGGCACGATGGTGGGAAAGTGCAAATCGTGGTGTGGCAGCAGCAGTGTGAGTTGTGACTCAAGAGGGAGCGATCAGGAGCGGATTTGACTCGAAGCGCCATTGTAATTGTGTGGGTAGAGGCAACGTTAGCATGTTGGGCATCTAAACATTACGAATCAAATAGAACTTAGACTTTGTTCCTTTTCCAATTATTAGGTCCAAATTCTACTACGGGTGAATCGTGAATAGTGGAGACACTGAAACGAGCAAAGGGGCCTGAGCGATTTTTACGAAAAAGCGGACGAATATAATTTGATTCATCAGTGAAATGAAAAGTTAGTCTTCTGATAGAGATGGCTGAAACTACTGTTATTTTGAAAAACGGAAATTTCGAATCATCTTTGTCACTCAGGATGTGCAGTCGATGAGAATTGAGCGTTTCAAAAGCGACTAAATCCTAGGATGTGAGCAATCTCTGAAACCCTGAATTGGAAAGGGAACATTTTTGACTGGTTTCTGACTGCAGCATTATCCATTCTTAAACGACAGACGGCTTAGTTAAAATCAGAGACAAATATCCTTTACTGACCTTATAGAGACCTTTTACTGGCATCAGTAATACGAGGAAACGTCTGCTCGTAAATTTTGATCACTTGAGCTACACTTCGCAATAGGGAACTACTATTCCAGCCTCATTTTAGAAATAACGGATGTTTCATTATTTTCCCATGCTGAAAAGTCATAGATAAACCAGACTTCGTGCTTCCTGATCGCAAAATCTAGTTTACTTGGCCCTTACTAAAAATGATTCATTTTTTTGGTTTGGTATAATGTTTGAGCACGATTTTTAAGCTCTGCTATAACCCTCGAATTCAAAAATGATTAGGAACACAAGCAGACATCAAGGCGATGCCCTCTTGACGCGAGATGGGTGCGGGGGGAGGGAGGGTTGGGCACGAGTTCATCCAAGCGTGGCCGAAAGTTAAAAATTCATCGTGGACAGCCTGGATATTGGCGACCAGGAAGCTCCCTCCCGTTGAAAACACGAAAGAACAAACACGAAAAACGCTGTTGTAATTACGTGGGAAACTCACTGCAGCGGCGACGCCAATTTGTCTTTTCCATTGGCACAAAAAAATACAAATGGCTACCTATAGCTCCTGTGATAAAACTCCGAGGGGCACGTGGTGTGTTTCGGATGCGTTGTAAGGGACAGGGGGCAAGCCCACCTGTAAATAATCACTTCAGCGCTCAGATCACCAATAACTGCGAACACAGAAGGGTTGGATTTCTTCAACTANTAATTACAACAGCGTTTTTCGTGTTTGTTCTTTCGTGTTTTCAACGGGAGGGAGCTTCCTGGTCGCCAATATCCAGGCTGTCCACGATGAATTTTTAACTTTCGGCCACGCTTGGGTGAACTCGTGCCCAACCCTCCCTCCCCCCGCACCCATCTCGCGTCAAGAGGGCATCGCCTTGATGTCTGCTTGTGTTCCTAATCATTTTTGAATTCGAGGGGTATTGCAGACCTTAAAAATCGTGTTTAACCATCACACCAAACCAAAAAAATGAACCATTTTTAGTAAGAGCCATGTAAACTACATTTTGTGATCAGGAAGCACGAAGGCTGGCTTATCTATGACTTTTCAACATCAACATGGGAAAATAATGAAACATCCGTTTTTCCTAAGATGAAGCAGGATAGTAGTTCCCTGTTGCAAAGTGCAGTCCAAGTGATCAAACTTTACGAGCAAACATTTCCTCCTATCACTGATGCTAGTAAAATATCTATATTTGTCTCTGATTTTAACTAATTGTAAGCCGTCTGTCGTTTATGAATGGATAACGCTGCACACCAGAAACCACTTAAATGTTCACTTTCCAATTCAGGGTTTCAGAGATTGCTCATATTCTAGGATTTAGTCGCTTTTGAAACGCTCAATTTTCATTGACTGCACATCCTGAGTGACAAGATGATACGAAAGTTCCGTTTTTCAAAATAACAGTAGTTTCAGCCATCTCCGTCAGAAGACTGACTCTTCATTTCACTTAGGAGTCAGCAAATTATATTCGTCCGCTTTTTCGTAAAAATCGCTTAGGCCCCTTTGCTCGTTTCAGTGTCTCCACTATTCACGATTCTCCCGAAGTAGAATTTTGACATAATAATTAGAGAAGGAACAAAGTCTAAGTTCTGTTTGATTCGTAATGTTTAGATGCCCAACATGCTAACGTTGCCTCTACCCACACAATTACGATGGCGTTTCGAGTCAAATCCGCTCCTGATCGCTCCCACTTGAGTCACAACTCGCACTGCTGCTGCCACACCACGATTTGCACTTTCCCACCACGGATGCCCCATCGTGATACTTACATTTCACTGTTTAATTGCTGGAAAAAATAATTTTGCAGCTAAAAATAAGAACTGAGAGAGCCCGAAGCAGTGATCTCTGCGAGCAAATGTTATTGTCGTACCTTTTTTGACACGGGAAAGAAAGAGGTAGGGATTGTTTGAGGGCATTTCCTATTAACCGTGGTATTAACCGAATAAATTGGACTGCATTTTGCAAATTTGGAACTATAAATTCTGGGTCATCTGGAAAAACACTTATGCGCGTAGGGAAAATAATGGCACATACGTTGTTTTTAAACCGGGCCAGAATTTATAGTTCCAAATTGCAAAATGCAGTCCAATTAGGCTACTACCCCAACTTCATTTGCGGTAATACCACGATTAATTGGAATTGCCCACATCATTTAACAAATTGGAGTAGTACCTTAAATTTAGTCCGTGCAAGCTTAAGCTTTACATAAAAATATTTCGATATGTGAGGCATTGAGAAAATCACATAGGTATGCACTTCATCAGGTCAAAAACCTAGAGTATATACTGTTAAAACCATTCGACTAAAACTAGATGTAGGTCTAATCTGAATCATGCCAGATTCTTCTCTTTCGTCTCAAAAATGTGTGCCCGAGTCAAGTATGACTTCCTGGGTCTCATCCCGTTCCCTTACTGAGAATATTAATCGAGGTCAATTAAGCTTAAATTATTGTGTGAAAGAAACTTAAGGGGGTCTAAATTGGCAAAAGATTGATATTGCCTCCCGTTTAAATATTCACAGCGTTGTACGTAACATGAGGAAAGCTCCAAATAATTTTAATTTCAGACGTTGATATTGTATGAAAGTCCAGTGCTAAATTTTGAGGGCATTCGATCCCAACTAACAGCACATGCTGATTGAATCTAATTATTTCAAGATTCAGCAACTCAAAAAATGTAAAACCTGAAAATCCTCTTGGTCCCGGGTACTTTGAGGGCTCCCTGTGCTCCGACGATTGACCAACACTGTTTTGGCGAAGCAGTTGAGTGTTTATTGTCGACGTCGAGGGAGCTTGCTCTGAAACAAAGTTAATCTGTAACTTTAACGACCCGTGTCAGTCATAATTTATTCGTTCGCCCGAATCTCGTCAGTTTTACGATTTTTGTGGTCTACCGTTTGAATGTTGCGCCTTACACAGTTCCTTTCTGGAGTTATTGTTTCCTCACCTGCCTCCCCCCGTACATCTTCCATCCAGCCTCTACAACTCTCCATAACTACCTCGTATTCATATTTTTTTCATCATATTCCGTGAAATTGATTTTCATTCTCTTCTTTTTTGTTTCAGGTACGTGTGCCTTGAGCTCAGCGATTTTTGGCACATTTTGAACCCATGAACCCATCAGTCATTTTTGACGGAAGGGTGATTTATGAATCTCAGCCGTTATTCCCTCTCGTGAGCCTATTGTAAGTCAAAACCTCAAATATTCCGCCTGCGTGATTTTTACCTCTCCTAATATGCTCAGTACGTGACCTGGGTTCGCGTATCGATGTGTACGGCTCTTTATATTTTGCTGGATCTCGTTTTTCGATTTGTAGTGTTTATTCCGTTACCAGTGGCAATTTTGCAAGTTTGCAACACTGTTTTCCCTCCATTTAAATCCATTAAAAATATCGATTTTAGGTGAGGTAAGCCAGGCTCGGACTGGCCATAAGGCCAATCTGCCATTGGTAGATACGCCCCCTTTGCGCGCCGAAAACGCGCCCCTCTTACAGATAGCAAAATAAGAAGAAAAAAATTACGACCCAGAATATGTGAGGAAAATTCCTTAAATGAACGGAAGAAGAGAGAGTTAGGAGCAAAGAAAGGTGTTTTAACGTATGATAGTGGTGAACAGAGGTACAAGAACAGTGGCGTAACGGGCGCCCCCGCAGACCCTGCTATGCAGGGGGGCCCAGGCGCCTAGGGGGCCCTCCCTCGGCCGCCGATATTTTTTTTTCTCTCTCTCTCTCTTTCTGATGCTCAACTTTGGTTTCAAACTTTTGGCCTCTACTTACAGAGATGGGGCTTCTTCCTCTGATTTTTATTGTTAGCTCGGGGTTTTTCATACTTCTTTCGGACTGTTCCTAACTTTTTGTTTGCTGGAGGGTCCCTGCTTTCCAATGTCCACTCAGTGATTACTAGATAATTTTCTCTTTTTTTGTCTTTTCTCGTATTTCGGGCTTTGGGCCTGGGCCCCCCTGAAGATCCTTGGGCCTGGGCCGGGCCCCCGCCCCACTTTAGATCGTTGATCCTTTAGTGGCCCCATTAAATCGGGTACGGGATCCGGGACGGTGAGGGATGAGTCAAATTCAACGTAAGGACATAACGTAAAAATAGGCTAAATCCTGCACATACCATACCTAAAGGTAAAAAGATATAAGCTGCTGCCATTTTGATATTTTTGGTGGTTAAGGCTGATTTTTGCAGAAATTTTCGTGCTGCGGGCCCCGACCATAAGAGGAAAAACGGGAAGGAGCGAGGGAGAGAGATGGGCGGGAGGGGAGGATCATTTTGAAATTTTATCGACAT